TATTATTTTGTACCGGTGAACTTGCCAACCTTTTTCTTAAAAATAAACGTGATGTTGAATTCACTTTTTTGACCACAATTTTGGGTGTACTGTTTTGTTTTTGTTTTTGCTGATGGGGGATGGGGGGTGCGGCTTATATGTTAATGTTCGCGCGTTTTTAAAAAAAAAATAGCGGGTGTGGCTTATAGTCCGAAAAATACGGTAGGAAAAATTGTGTTTCATAACTTGGTAAAATACACCAGAATGCAGGAAATGGCATCTATTTCGTTCAAAATTTTCTGGGGGAGGACCCCCAGACCACCCAACAGTGTGTCCCCCCCATTTTAAAATGGTTCTAATACCCATGTTTATAAGATATTCACTGCTTGTATAAGGACATAAAGAAATGAGCAAAACACAAAGATCTGCAGAAACTTTCAAATAAAAAATGATGTAATGTTCCAGGCCACCCCTGTGTGAGAAATGGTGCCCGTCTGGCCACCCCTGAGAAAAATGTCTGGCTCCGCCACTGGTTTAAAGGTTTTGTTTATCTTGTTTCAACACTGACTTATTTCCTGTTTCCCTCCAGTTTTTGTGAGAATAAAAAATAAAATCTGAGTTTTTCCATCTCTGACACTTTATCCCTGATTAGTACCTGATTGTTGGCCGGGGCCCCCTCTGCTCCGGTGCAGGGGGCCAACGTGAGGACGGGGGTCTCCTGGCCCTCCACCTTCCCAGACTCCAGACAGTTCTGTCTCTGTCTTATGACCCCGGACTGTGAGTCCGAGTCGTCCGGGACCCTGATGAGGACAAACACACAACTGATACAAATGTTTCAATGAACGGAGAAAGTTTTTTATTTATAAATCAAGAGTTCTTCAGTTTTAAAATTAGATTTTTAAACTTTATATTCATTCAGGCTCAAAGACATTTAAATCAAAAAAAGAAACTTTAGAAAACAAGCAAGAAAAGCACAAATACAAAAAACAGGAACTATTTAGAATAACAAAAAAAAATAATAAATAATAAATAAATAATAAAAAAATAAAACATTTAAAAAATCTGTTTAAATAAAAATGGAGTTAAAAGAGTTCTATTCTGATCCTTAGTGTTCATAAAGTTCGACCACGTGACGAGCTCACGGTTGATTAAAATGACACGACTCGAACAAATGTCTTTAAACTTTAAAAAGTTTCTTCTTTGTGAAACTTTTGTCTCTCTTTTCAAATTCTCTGCTAGAAACTGGAGCCTAAGTCGCGCAGCATTAATTCAGTCCACTATCTCTCACTTTTAATAACCCGTTAAAGGTTATTCTGCGTTTTAAGGGTCAGGTCTGTTGTCCCCCGAGACGAAGACCGTTAATTCCATTCTGGGGGATTAACTCTGGACCCCCGGTGGATAAATGGCTGTTTAAAAGTGTGAAAGGAAAAGAGTGTTGGTGTGTTTGTGTCAGGTTGATGTGTGTTTGTAGTTAGAATCAGGGTTAAGACTGTATGATTGTCTGAGCCGGGACCACCAGCTTAAAGCCAATCAGGATGGATCAGGAGAGTTCATCTTGAACCAGGTGTTTAGAAAGACACGAACCAAACAGAGTTGGCTTCACTGCAGACAGGAATTATCCCTTTATTTAAACATATATATACAGTATATATATATATAT